TTATAAATATTATAAGTATGTTTTTTAGTGCATTTAGTTTTGGAATATTAATATTTTACTTTTTTTATATTGATATTTTTTTTTTAAATAATCTTATTTACAATTATGATACATTAATGTTTCCTTTTAACTTATATTTGTAATTGTTTTTAAATGTATTTAATTATCAAATGTTCATTTATAATTATACGTGAAATATAGTTTAATAATTATACGTTATTGTAATTATGATTAAAATAAAAGGAATTTCTTTTCTTATTTATATTATATATATTTTAATATATATCTTATTAATTTATGATTGGTAAGTAATTTTATGCAAAATTGGATAATATAGTTCCACAACGTTTTCTTTCATTATTTTTACATAAAATGTTTATGTTAAGTGTTTATATTAATGATATGAAAGCTAAGATTAATTCAACAATATATATGATATATAGTAGGTTGTTGAATTTGTCAAAATTAACTACATCATTTGTCAAACATTCGCTACAATATTATGAATAAAAAAATACAGGATCTCGTGTAAAAAAAAAATTAACTTGACCTTAAAATTTCCCCAACATACTACATCAATGGAAAAAATATTCATGTTACACACTTCTTTAAATCAACTTTTTGTAAAAATATTTTTCTGATAATTCCTCTATTCACATTTAAACGTAACACCTTGTATAATGACTTTGAAGGAAATAATTTGAACAATAAATTTCATAACATTACAAAACATATTTATCAGTACATTAATATATTTTATACATTCTGTTCTATTCTGTTAATTACACTTTTTAATCCTTGCTCAGCCAACACTGGGTCACTTTAACCTGATACAATATCATACAAAATAACATAACATAATATAATTATAAAATATTTATATTCTTATCATTATATTCTAATCATTATTTAATGATATTATCTAAAAACTAATTTCAAAGTCAGTCGGTATAAGTAATTAAAAATCACTTGCTCTTTGCAAATATCCCTTTTCATTAGAAATAAGTACACAAATATCCCTTTATTAATGAAAGGTTAACATCTTTAGTTGATGAAAGAGTTTAGTTGCTATAATATAATTATTACAATATTAAAACTGAACTATTCCATCGACTGTCAATTTTGTCAATGAAAATATGTTTGTATAGCACAAATTATTTTGAGTGGAAAATGACTTTCACATAATAAAAACTTTGATATGAATCTGTCACTCTTGGTCGTTCATGGGCTAATAGTTTTTGCTTATATTGTAGAACAAATTAATGCATATAATTTCATTATCTTGTTCCACAGGTCGTATACATGTTTTAATGGTTTATTTTAAATTGTGTTTTTGATGTTCTTTAAATTCCTTGAAAAGAATCCATAGGTGACATCGCTGGAATTGAATACTTTACAAAATTGTAATAAAGCAAATGCTCTTTATGATTTTATCTGGGAATGTGAATCGCGCATTCAGGATAAATGGACATACATTGTGGAAAATGTAAATAAATATTTTATTAATCAGTAACAATATAATAACTATCAGATTGTAGAACGCAGTATGTGCTATTATCAGTAAGACAAAGTAATTATAAAATGTCCAAATTTATTTTTCTTCATTTTTAATTTTATGACTTATATAAACATGACTTATGTGACTATAGCAGCATACGTTATATGACTATTATATTTTCATCTTTTATCTTCTTTACGTACTTATCATTTAGAAACACTGATACGTAATAACACAAACATCATAACAACATGAACAATCATAAAGTATATCTTCTTTTTTTATTTCTAACTTTATTACTACTTGTTCATAAAATAATCTCAGGATATCTGATTTATTTAACAGAAACTATGACTGCTAGTAGCTATTTAAGAACGATTAGGTGGTGTACATTTACAAATACTCTCTGAGGGCAGTTTTAGAGGATGGTTATATATGGGTGAAAGTCAGTCTATATCAAGAAACATGAATGAAGCGAAATGCGTGCTGGTTATCGCACGACCTATGTCAGTCTTCGTGACCCCGTTGCGTGGATTCTCAATCACATGCACTGTAACATCGTATATACGAATTGTGTATACCGTGACTGAAGTACTTTTTAGCAGACCTTTGTTTTCCAGCAATCCTTTTAACGAGTTTAATGAGAAGATTTAAAAATTAAAGTTCGCAGTTTAATAGAAGATATGGGAGAAAAATATAACCATGAGAAGTTATATAACTACTCTACTTTTAAAATACTTGATCTATTTACATTTTGATTCCAATTATGATCCAATCTATGATCAGTGGCGATTAGAACTCATCATTCGCAAAATTATTCAGTAATAATGTGTTAATAATTCGTATTAATTTAGTGATATTTAATTTTCAGTAAGCGGAAGGGCGGGTGCGGGTGGAGGCGGTGGTGAAGATGGTGGCGCGCCCCTTTACGGTCGTCTGGTAGCTGAGGAGCCATTACCTCCTACAGTATGTGGGGGTGCCGGTACCGGTGGCGGTACTGGTGGGGTTCCGCAAGAAACCCCCGCGGATATACACGCCATGCAAGCCAGAATACCCCATAGATTTCGTGATCCAGCCACAGCACCTCTTAGAAAACTTAGTGTAGATCTCATCAAAACTTACAAGCACATCAACGAGGTAAAAAATGCTTTCTATTTGACAATTATTTAATTATGATTCTTTTCCTCTTCAAGTTCTCCATTTATTTCCTAGTAATTGATCTATATATCTTATTTTACCTTTAAATAAAAATGTGAAATTACACTATCTTTTCTGTCTTTTTTTATTAAATGTAATGTACAGAACAATTAGGCATTATTTATTTCGATAGATTTCGATAGATATTTCGATAGACGTGTTCTATTCTTTTTTTTTTCTATCATTTCTCTACTTTTAATAACAATCTAACGAATAAAATATTGTTCTAATGAATAACTTTCATTTTTGATTATTTATGAAGTTATGATATAAAATGTGAAAGTAAATAAACTAAATATCTCGAACTATACTTTTCCAATGGGATGAGAAAGAAAATTTGAGCAAAAATTAATTTCACTATTCGTAAGCTTTAGAATTCTTGAAACAGCAGTGGTTGTCATGTGTATAAAATAATATTAGAATTGTATTATTTTAAGATATTATTTTTTATTTATATTAGTATTTAAGCAAAGTCAAAATTGAAATTATTAATTTAATAGCGTGATAATAACTTTAATTTAATCTTAATCAATCATAAATTTCTCTATATTACTAATTAATATACTATTGTGATTTATATATGATGTATTGGTGATCTAATTGCAAAACACATATTGCAATTAACCGATATAAACAAATATAATAACTGAAGTTAGAAGTTTGAAGAGGTAGAAATTTTACAACGCAAAAACATTAAAATTGTATCTGAAATGTTTCTTTAATTTTAGAAATTCACAAACAGTTTCAAGATTTCTATAAAAATAAGATAGCTATAAGATAAACAAATAATTATGATTATTTAGCGATTCATATCAGCAGAGTTATAGAAAGAAAAATTGATATTTGACATCACAAATTTTTGTTGCATCTTATAAAAAAATTTTGAAAGATGGAAAATCTATTTTCTTTCGAATTTTAACATAATGATTCTTCAAAATTACTTATCAGGTATTATTTGCTCAATTTTAATGCCTACAATGGTCTTTGGTAAGAATACATATCGTATTTTGTATATAGATAAAAATTATAAAACAATTACAATAAAAAAATGAATACAATAGAGACCAGTAATTTTTAAGCTTTTCGAAATCACGAAACATTTTTGATTATAAGAAAAATTTGCGATACAATAAAATTACTAAGGTCATAAATTTAATAATAAAAATAAAAAATGCATATCTATTTTATTAAAAAACAATAAAAAGAGAAAGCGATAATTTAAGAAATATCATATTTGTAGAAACTACAACAAAAATAACTCTCTTATAAAACTTCTTCAAATCTTAATTCTTCTTCTTCAAATCAAGTCTTAATTCGATTTTTACAAATTTCAACTTGAAGTTCGATGACTCGAAAAAGTCAATAGATAAAGAAAATGATTTTGTAGAACATCGATTAAAAACGAATATAGACTAACAAATGGTAAATATATTTACCAACAACTTATAAAGGATTAAATCATAGATATAACTGCATATTAAAACTTAGATCCACAGGATTTTCGAATAAAAAGAATTAACAAGCACAAACCTACGCTTAAACACATTACAAATATTAACAGAAAATTTTACACAATAGTTATTAATGTTATTTACGATTCATGGACTTTATCTATGAATATTTATCTCATTTAAGTTTTCTGATATTACGATATTATGATGTACGTAGATAATAAATATAATGATCATTAAAATATAAAATTATTCTAAATTAAAAATAAAATTATTCTAAATTAATTTTTTTCTCAAGATTTCATAAATAAGTGCGGAAAATTCCTTGGAATAAATAAATATGATATTTAATTTATAATTTTTCTAGTAAATTCTAGTAAATTTATAATTATAATAATAGTAAAAAAAAATTATAATAATTTATAATTTTTCTAGTAAATTCTAGTAAATATTTTTTAACAATGATTTAAGAATGATTTAACAGTGACACTCTTATCTTTAGATATGTTTCATACTGGTATATAGACATTTTCCATAAATCAAATATATTTTGATTGATTATTTAAGAGATTATGATTAAAAGAAAAAACATATGTACTATATATGATTTATTTTTGCTTGCCATTCTATTTTAATTTGCGAAATCATCCATATATCATTATATCTCTACATAAAATAGAAATTGAAATTTAATAAAGCAAAAGGAAGTAAAAATATTGCCCAAAAATAGATTGTGAAGAGACATTGCCATTACATTTATCCTGTTAAATTTTTATTACAATACGTTTGATTTAATATTTAAGTTTTTTTCTGCTCAACAATCGTTTATTTATATTAAATTTACTCAGTATGTTTATATAGCTCAAATAATCGATATTCCATTGTATTTGCCTTTAATGGTATTTACAAACCAATTGGTTGTCTGTATTTAGTCTTTCCTTACTTATTTTTCACTGACATCTTTAACTTTGTTCCCATCTTTTTTCTGCTTTGTAACTCATCTGTGCATGGAGCTTCTCTAACTACTTATCTATCTACCTATTTATTCACCTTTCTTTCTCTTCTAGCCATCCATTCTTTTGTTAAAACCTAAAAACATAATTAATGATTTTGTTGATAACCTATATTACACACTTTTCATTTGTTTCCTCTCCTTCAAACAAAAAAATTCATTCAATGATTATGTAAACATCTAGTTTACAATTTTAGTTTACTTACTTTGTGTTTAATGTTATTACTAAAATATAATGTTATTAATACTTATATTTTATATGGTATGTATATATAAAGTATCATACGTCTGTATGCCTAATTTTTATTAGTATAAACGAAATTGTAAATTACAAAGTGGAAATAATGAAAATATTACAAATAAAAAATCATTTAATTTGGATGGACAACAAATAACAATAAATAATCTAATGATTTATAACAAACTTTTGTAACAAAAATCATGGTGCTTCCAAAACTGTTTTCTATAGTTTTGTAAAGAAGATTTAAAGATACTTCAAATTATATAAATGTATTATTTTCTTTCTTTTTTTCTTTCCTTTTCTTTTTCATATTTTAAATCAACTTTTACATCAAATTTTTTATATTTTCAATAATATTAAAACTTTTAATTATATCACCAATTAACCTTTTGCAATAATATGGTAACATAATGTAGTATAATAGTATAGTAATATAATGATATCATATATATAATATCATAACAATACAATATTATTGAAGTTTTTCACATTTCCCTAAAATATACTTATTTTCGTAAGAAATCTTACATAATTATTAACTGTTTACTTTTATCTTGTATAGCCTAGTTATGTTTGTTCATTTTCTAAAATTATTATTATAACATAAAATAAATCTGTTGTGTGATAAACAAAATCTGTTGTGTGTATTAATCAATAAAAAGTGCAGAAAAATCGAATCATTCTGTGCTTCTTTGAATTTTCGAATTCATGTTAGAATAACATTTACTTTGCAACTTCTTTCAATTTCTTTGTCTGTATTTTATTTTTACTTAGATTTAAATTTTGTTATATTTTTTAAATCTTTTATTTAATCTATTTTACCTACAGAAAAAATTAAATATGAGGGATATATATGTTAATATATTTGAAAAATTCAACAAAAAGGTTAAAATGAAATAAAAACACGTTATGTATAAAATATATTAAAATACTTGTATGAAAATTTATATGGAACTTATATGAAAACTACATACAGGGTAACTTTGTTTATATGAACCAGTTAATGTTGAGTCTCAGATATATCTCAGAAGTCATAATTGATTAACTTCTGTTATCCCTATCTGCTATCTATTATTATCCAAGCAAATAAAAGTAGGATATGGAGAAAGCTAGTGAGCTCTATCATTCGAACCGGTCCTGTCTCCCTATGTTCGGATAAACGAAGATCTGCTGTAATATTATATTTAATTAATAACACTATAGCAAGATATTTTCGAAATTTTTCAATAGTTTAAATTATCTAATATAATAATTTTTATAACTTTAGTATGTAATGTTCTGCTTTATTAATTTATTCATTTTTTTTTTTTAATAGGTTTATTATGCTAAGAAGAAGAGGAGAGCGCAACAGATGCAAAGAGAAGATAGTTCACATAAAAAAGAAAGAAAATTGTACAACGACGGCTGGGATGATGATAATCATGATTATATTATCAAGCATGGGGAAAAGTTCCTCGATCGTTATGAGATCGATTCGCTAATAGGTAAAAAAGCTCTGAATGATAAAGCTTTATTATGTTTTATTTTTATTAATCGTTTACTAAATATGAGTTGTTTATAACAAGGAGTCCATTGTCAATATTATGTAATAACAAATTTAAAAAATTGCAAGAAAATGATACATGAAAAGTAGTGATGTACAAAGTGTCTCTGAAAAAGTAATTTTCTTAATTAAACTTAAATTTTAACTGGAAAAACTAAAAAATCTCTTCAGAAAAAATAGGAAATAAAAAAACATTCTCTAGATATAGTGCCAAATATTTAAAGCTAATGGATAAATATTGCAAAAAATTCTATTAATATGATTACATATATTATGTGTTGTCTTTTATCTAAATATTTATAGCAACATTATTTGTAATTATAATGAAATTCTATATCTTCATTTCCATCACTATACCTTCATTACCTTCAATTTCAATACATATTTGTATTAACTGATTATTTTATTGCATTCTGAAAATAAGTAATATTATAAATGTTAGTTCTTTTAATCATTTATTTAACATTTATTTTATCCAATATATGTATATGTTTTTTATATTATATTCTGAAAGCATTTCTTTCTAATTTATTTCTAGCACTACATTTTTTAAGAAAAATTTCTTCAAAATTTAGTATAAATATTTAGTAAAAATTTAAATATTTAGTTAAATTAACTAAACCTTTAATATAATTTTTAACATGTTCTATTTCTGCACCCTAAATGTAATTTTTATGGCATAAAATATTATATAGGTAAAGGCAGTTTTGGCCAAGTAGTAAAAGCGTTTGATCATGAAGAACAAACGCAAGTGGCAATAAAAATTATCAAGAACAAAAAACCTTTTCTAAATCAAGCGCAAATCGAAGTGAGGCTTTTGGAAATGATGAACAGAGCAGATACCGACAACAAATATTACATAGGTTGGTTATTGTATCTTATTAATTAGTTACAATATATACTTACTATTTAAACAAAATTATTTACAATTACTTTTATAATTCAAATTTCTTACAGTTAAACTAAAAAGGCATTTTATGTGGCGAAATCATTTATGTCTGGTATTTGAACTGTTATCATATAATCTATATGATCTACTTAGAAATACGAATTTTCGAGGAGTATCGCTGAACTTAACAAGGAAGTTTGCACAGCAACTGTGTACTGCCCTTTTGTTCCTGTCTACACCGGAATTGAACATCATCCACTGTGATCTGAAACCTGAAAACATACTTTTATGCAATTCCAAACGAAGTGCGATAAAAATAGTGGATTTTGGTAGTTCATGTCAACTTGGACAAAGGGTAAGTGTAAGTCTGAAAGTATATTATAATTTAATAATTTTCGAAAATTAATTGTTATTAATGTTCTTTGCAGATATACCAATATATTCAATCCAGGTTTTACCGATCTCCCGAAGTCTTATTAGGAATACCTTATGATCTTGCGATAGACATGTGGAGTCTAGGATGTATTTTAGCTGAAATGCATACGGGAGAACCTCTGTTCAGTGGGGCCAATGAGGTAATAAATATAAAATTCTACTTGAATTCTTACATAGTAAAGTAATTTAATTATTAAGAATCTTAACATTAATTTATTTTACGTTACTATATATTTGATTTCATTTTACTTATTGTAACTATCACATAATCTTCTCCATTGAATTTCACAATATATGTAATTTTTAATGAAAAATAAATATTACTTATTTATTTTTCTATTTCGTAGGTCGATCAAATGAATAAAATCGTAGAAGTACTAGGAATGCCACCGAAACATATATTGGACCAAGCGCATAAAGCGCGAAAATACTTTGACAAAGTCCCCACGGATGGCTCGTATGTGCTGAAAAAGTCAAAGGATGGTAAAAAGTACAAACCTCCTGGCACAAGACGCTTACATGATATCTTAGGTGTCGAAAGCGGAGGCCCTGGTGGTAGAAGGATAGGTGAACCTGGTCATTCAATTTCCGATTACCTCAAATTCAAAGACTTGATCCTGCGAATGCTGGACTTTGATCCGAAAACAAGAGTGACACCGTATTATGCACTTCAGCACAATTTCTTTAAGCGTACAGCCGACGAGGGGACCAACACGAATATCGCTGCTGCCAACAGTGCTAACACGAGCCCGGCAGTAGTATCGATGAGCCAAGATCATGGTAAGTTACTAAAAACGTTATAATACATAAGGCATCATTTTTGGCTTACTGGATCGTTTTACACGCGTGACAGGGTAAAGATGTTTTCTTTTAAATTTGGGATTTTTTTACCTGTTACTATTCATTTTAATTCATAGTTTAAATAGTTTGTATATAACATAAACATTCTACTTTCAGTAAGATTTTTAAGTGTTTTCAAATTATGCTACACTGGTTTAAAATTTTGATAAAATAATTTAGATGATACTTTTTCTCATAACAATTTTAAACAGTGTTATATTTGCTATTTTCAAAATAACGTTTGTTTAAAAAACGCACTTGTTATTTATGATGTAACGTGTACAATATATTTTACGTTAATACGTGGACTATGCAAATATTGTTGCGAAAGAACATAGATTTGTAAAAGTTGCTATATATGTATCGCTTAACAAGTACACATCTTTATTAAATTTACAATTAGCAATTTCACATTGCTACAAAAAAATTTGTATAATTTTGTAATCGAAAATTTAAATGAAATGTCCTTTGACTGATTGTTTTTAATTGCTATATTTTACTATATCTTTTTATATAAATATATAGAATCTAATTCAGGTAATATATACATGTTTCCTAATCCATTATTTGTAATTTAACCAATCCAATCAAATTCAAGCTTTTGTGATAATTCAGAAACATTGTATCTAAAAGTTAATAAATTTAGAGCAATACAGTGACTTTCTTGTGTTGAACTTTTTAAGGAATTGCTGCATTGTATTGAAGATTTAGGCAGGCTTTAATTTGTGCAGAAAATAAGACATTTGCTTGTGTGATTATTTTATAATAACAAATAAAAATTACATACAAAATAGATGAAAGATTGGCATTTATGGAATATAATAATTTATCACGAATTTGTTTAATAGAAGATCTGTTTTATCAATTGCTGTAGAGATATAAATCATAATAAAATACCAATGAACATCAATATAAAAATATATATTTTTCTGATATCTTTTATTTTCTGCGCAAACTAAACGATACTTGTTGTTGCCCGTAGATATGATGGGGGGACAGTACGTGGCTCGATGACTGTCGTATCCGCGGGGCGGCGACGACCTGTCCTAGGCCCCAACCCTAATCTTACTTACTAACATAAGTAAGTTCTGTCTAACAAACAATCCTACAAGCTAAAAAACTAACAACGTCCCTGATAATCATATCCTGACCTCAAATGTAACATACGACGCCTTGCTTGTTTGAATAAAGAACTTGCACATCTGATTTTTTTTTAAGAGTGAGATATGGATTCATGTTAATTGCCCGTATCTCTGTTCTTCGATACAGTGTACTTTTATAACTTTTTTACATTGTAAAATCATTATCCTACAATTATTTGAGATTGTTAATATCTTTGTTAATATAAAATATATTAGAGTTCAAAAGCAGTGGATATCAAATAGGACTCTAAGAATATGTTCTTTGCAATGTTTACACAATTATAGAAAATGTAAGTGTAATAAATAACAATGATATATATATAATGTATACTTCATTACATATATATCTTTTGTTCAATCATTTCATTTTCAGAGAACATATTCTTATTAAAAAGTAATTGAATTTGTATATTTGTATTAAGTTTTTACTTTGTAGAACAACTGTTTCATTATCTTATAATTTATTTTATGCATGCTTTGACCGCTTGCATATAGCATGCGAAGTGCATCTATGTCATATAATGTACGAAACATTAAATTTCGCTGTTACAGTAAATATTACATCATACTTATAATCTGCACATTCATCATTTTACGTTCCAGTTTTTAAAAATGATTTCTTGCATATTCTTATCGTAAAACGAGTACCTAAATTAAAACGGATTAGATTTAATGCATAATTAATTGTAATTTTATACTTATATATAAGGTGTCCCAAATATAAATGTTTTTAAATAATAAGAAATAGAATACAAGCGAAGACGATTTTAAAGAGTAATATAGAAAATACTCCTTTAATTGATAGGTACTTTATAATAAATATATAATTTATTCTAATTTATTCTAATTTATTGAATTACTTGTATAATATAAATCAGAATATATTAAGTAAAATATTAATATCTTAACATTAAACAAATTTGTATCAGATTTAAATACAATAACACTAGTAAAACATAATAAAAGCAATAGTTATTAATAATACGATAATCATAAAATATTTAAATAATTTACAAATAATTCATGATTTTAATTACAAAATGAATTACATCATCAATAAAAGAATTCTTTATTTTGTTATATGTTTTAAAACTATGTATGTTAGTCTCTCATTTAAAATTTATATCTGAATTTTCTTATGTTATTTAAAATTTATATTAATTATTTATGAGTTATTAAATACAATACTATTATGTATATTAAAAATACAAAAGATATTACTCTTTTATTTTAATTTATAAATCATTGTTTAGATCTATCAAAATTTATTCTAATATTGCCAACGGCAGATTGATTAGTAGAATACATAGAAGTTAATAACAAAATAACAACTTCATAAAAGAGATGGAACTCTTGAAAATCGTCTTTTTAATTTTAATTTTATATTCATGAATCACAGTTCTGCTAAAATATATTTAAAATTGTTGTTTATTCTATCAATTGCCCGAAACAAAGATGAACAAATTGGTTAAGTATCGATTGCTTAATATTTAAATATTAATAGAATTTAAGTTGAAACTGCCGGCTACGTGAAAGAGAAACGAAACGTTAAACTCAATGCCTGGAATGTATCCCCGTAGTATTTTGAAATCTTTTTTATTTGTTTTAACTTTCTCATAGTGACGTACTATTGTAAGAGGTAGTAATTCATTGGATGATCTTTGCATTAGTGTTGAAACGATTAGATTTCGTTTACCGATCTAATGTCCTGTTCTCTTAATGTCTTAGGACTGGTAACCATGTCAGGACAGGGAAGCAACAACAGTGGCAATACGATGCAAATATCAAATCTCCCTGGTGGCTATCAGCCAATGGAATGCGAGTCATCGCCTCGTCATTTGGGGAATCGACGCGTCGTAACAACAAATTATCCGTCAACCTCGGCCACTGGGGTGTCTGCATCCGGGCCGATGTCCATGCAATCTGTAGACAGTTCCCTGATACAAAGCTCTCTTGGATCGTATAATAGCCTAATTCTTCCTGGTATACCCCATCTGCCTGCGATGATGACCTCACCGATGATTCAGCAGCAGAATTTTTACAATTACAGTTACTCGACGACTGATGCGCACGGAATAGTCAGACAATCGTCGACAGTCTCAACCGGCAAACAAAGAGACCCAGAAAGGGAAGATAGTCCTATGGTTGGAGTATGCGTCCAGCAGAGTCCAGTTGCTATTCACTGAAATGAAAAAGAATAAAAAAGAAACTACGACGACAGTCAATTATACGTACTGTCGTCGCGATAGCGGTACCGTCAGAAATATATATTAGGTGATTATATATACTGTATATACGAAGTTTATGACGATACCGTGAAACCTATCGTACTGTTTATGAATGAAAGGGAAGAAAAGGAGGGAAATGAGAACGGGCAGTAGGAAATTTGAAGCCCTTCCCCGTTGCATTGCTTTGCATTTCGTCGTTTCATTGGTTAGTAACACGGTGTGTAATCGTGTTGGAAAAGATGCCATTGCTTCAATCTAACAGCTTAAAAAAGGAAAAAGAAAAAAAAATACGAAATATATAAAAGGCAGAAACGTTAACAAGAATTTCTTTATTTGTAAGAAAAGGGGGCTTTAAAAATATATAAGCGGTTTCTTTAGAAGAAAAAAAGTTAAAGAAAAGGAAAACGAGAACAGGGACTCAATTGTCAACAAGACAGAAATTCAATTGTAAAGTAGAAATACGAAGGAATGCAAAGGAAAACATGAGGGAAGCTTCCTTTTTTCCATTATTTTTTTCGTTCCCTTCTTAGTTTTTTATTTATTATCTTAAGAAGCTGACTGGTCTTACATTGAGCACGGATATACCGTGTCCGGCACAGAAGCTTATGATACTTTGCTTATGAGCACGGACAGATAAACATGGTCTAGTGAGGATGAACCCAGCTGGCCTCTCGGGTCCTGCCCGATTCTGCAAACACTCCAAATGCTTTAGTCGCGTGCAAACGTCGTTAATAAATTTTGGCACCCAAACTGTGTGGCCTAGAGAGCGAAAAAGTGATAATTACTATTATTAAAAATGCATTAAACAAGAGGAAAAGTAAGAATTACCAGTGTAAGCATATACTCCAATAGAGTTTTATACACAATGTCACGAATGTAAACGGTTTAGCAAGTAATTGCTAGCAAACAGTCGCGTCAAATGCTAGTTATTTGTACAATATATATAGATAAATGATAAGAGTGCAGCTTTAGGATTTAGCTTTTAAGTGTGAAAGAAAAGAACACTGACATTGTAAACTCGACTCTTTTATTTACTTTGATAAATAAAAAAGAGGACGTTGCAAACGTCAGTTTGTTGCCGATAAAGGACTTTAAACAAACGAGGTTTGCATGATTTAACAATAATACATATTTATACAGAAGACAGTAATAAGAAAGTTAAAAGGCAGTATACACGTAAGATTGATCAAGGATGATATAATCATACAAAAACCTAGATACTTTATGATAAACGATACGCGCGTACTCATATACATATGTTTCCAATGGCAGTCGTAATTGATTTTTGCCGTTTCACTTTGGTAATTGTAACATTATTTATATTGTATTAATATACCTTCCGTATAAGTTTATATAATCGTTTTCTGGCATTTGCACTTTCTTTTTCCAGTTTCAATAATTATACCGATCGATATGATTCTTCTAATGAATTTCTCACATTCTTTCTGATATTTGGTTGTAGAGTACAAAACAACTTGGAACGTAAATTTCAATGCCAGAATGCGAAATATTAAATACAAATAAATTGTGTCAATAGCAGTAAGATAATAATAAAACAAGACACGATGAACAATGTAAATTTTCGATACTTATTAATAGCGTATACTGCAACAAATAATTCTTGAGCTACTTTGCATGTTTCTATTCTTTGTTGTGCATATATATATATATATTGCACATATATATATATATAATATATATATATATATATATTAAACTCTTGGTTGATTTTTAAAATTATTTTATGATATTTTATTGACCGTTTTGTATTATTTTATAGAAATGGAAACGAAATATAAATTTGAATGATACTTAAATATTTTATTGTATGCAGTATGTCAGCTTCTTATTGGCTTGCTTATTCAAAGCATATGATTATATAGTTTTAATGATCAATCAAATTTTTAATATTTTGTTTTTAATAACGCCGATTTTGGATCTTTTTCATTCGTAATATAACAATTTATATATTACGGACATTTTTCTCGAGGAAAAGTTTCTGTGTATACCTCAAGAAAATTTCGAACCTATATTAATTGCCTTATTTTTCATTATATGAATTTATGAATGAGAATGAAATGTTTGACTTGTCGAGAATTGTTTAGATAGGTAACTTAGAATTTTGCATTTTTTAAATATTCGCAATGTGAAGATTTGACGGTAGACATAATGACTCGCGAAGCGACATATTCGTTCGAATTCATAGATTATTCTATTCTATTCCCAGGTAATGAACAATTACTAAATTATATTAGTATTTTTACTTCGCTCTAATGTACAATCTTAATGGATCATTGCTTATATTACATAAAGGTATAACGAATTTTTGTTTTAAGTGGAATAAATGAAAAATGATAAACGCAATGGTGTAAATTCGATCTAAAGTTGTAATTACTAACAACCATGAAACTATTCTTAAATTTCTATGTTAACGAGAAACATTTTGCCGTAACGATATATCTCAATAACTTTATAAAAAGAATATAGGAGAGAAAAGAAAGAAAGAAAGAAAGAAAGGGAGGAGAGTGCGCGCGCGCACGCGCGCGTGTGTGTGTGTCGCGTATGTGTGTATGAAAATGATTTTTCAAACAGAAAATATTGTCAGATTTCGAAGATCAAGATTCTTCGTGACAAATTTCTGGCATTTCGATGATCTTGTTGAACGGCAAAAATCAGTACGCTCTATAAACGTAGACAAAATGTGTGGCAATTTCACACGTACCCTCTTCCGAATTTACGTTACTCGTATTATGCTCATTAGTCCTTCAAAGAAACAAAACTCCTTTTCTCTTTTTCTCTTTTCTTTTACTTACTTACTAAATATTTTGATACGAGAGAAGTTTACCTCTTTGATAAAATTGTAGCACAAGAAACTGTTGTCTATAAGAAAATGTCGTCTTTCAAGACTTTTTTTCGTTAAAAACGCACGAGAAACAATTTCAAACAAAAGAGATTGACTTTTGAGCATAATATGTTTTTTTTTTCCAACGTATCGTCGAAGCATTTTCTCGTTTAATAATTATTAATTTTTGCGGAAGCAATTACAATTATTTCGTTTATGTGAAAAATAAAATAACCAATTGTATCTTATCACTTATTAATAACTTTTATAGTCGCTGCTTATAAAAGAAAAAAACGATGATCGTTACAAAATTGAAAATTAAATTTGTTCAACAATTATTAACAATGAAAAGAACGGTAATGTTTTAAATGTGTGGAATTTCGCTAATTATTATACGGAGATCTTTAAAAGAAATACTCGGAAGAGTGGTGATCGAATATTTGAAAAAGAAAAAAATTGATAAAACAAAAGAAGTATATGTCAGATAACAAATGAGATTGAAAAAATTTTCGTTAAAAAAGTGGAATTCATATATTATATAGTAATAGATTGATTTCAAACGCGCCAATTAATTCTTCATATAAAAACTTTTTACACAGAGAATACGTTTCAAAATATTTTCATATTTTTCCATTTGTAACGTATATGTTTCTTATAGTTTTTGTACCCCGAAAAATTTGTCCACTCAACAATTGTCGCAAAATGTAGAGTATTTATGCCAATTAGCAAACAACAGAGTTATATACATTTAAATAGTATAAGAACCGATCACGATTTGTGTTTCAAATAATTTTAATTGAGTAAGTTGTATAAGTTTTGCTCTCAATATGTTACTAAAAAATTTTTGTATATCTTCATAAATTTATTTAAGAAAAAAACAAAACTTTTACCATATTAGTTTATGTCTAAAATAAACTAAAATAGTTTCTCATCAGGACCATTAAAAAAATTCATTCTATACTGTTTTTATTTAAAAAGTCAAATTGTTTGAATGATTTTGAAACCATCCAACGTAAATTTTAAAACAAATTCTTTGAAACACATTGTGACCGGATTAAAATACCATAAGTTTCCTAACGTCATATGTAAAAACATTGTGTTCAGAAAATATACTATAATACGACTGATGTATGTCTGTTATGCAAAGTGCGAGCATTTATCGAGAAAAAGTGATGAATACAGATCCATCGTTTCAATTTCTTGTTTGATGATTGCACATAATGCTAACCGACATAAAAATATAAGGAATGAATACAGAAAACAAACTGAATTAAGAAAAAAACCGATTTATTAAGATGAAAATTAACAAGCCTCCATACAAGATGAAGAAAAAGTTGTATCTACCCTGTAAACATTTTCATATTATATTATATTATATTACATTATATTATATTATTATTGCTATTATTACTACTACTACTATTATTATTGTTATTATTATTATTTTTATTATTACTTATCCTGCTATTCTATCATTATTATTACTATTACCATTATGATTATGATTAATATTTTTATTGTCTTTATTATGATTATTACTATTACTCTTATTGTTATTACCACTACTACTACTATTTCTACTACTACTATCACTACCATCACCATCATCACTACTACTGTCATTGTTACTATTCCTACTACTAAAGTATCACTATTACTACTACTATCACTATCACTATCACTGCTACTGCTACTACTACTACTACTACTACTACTACTACTACTACTACTACTACTACTACTATTACTATTACTACTACTATTGCTACTACTACTGCTGCTACTACTACTACTACTACTACTACTACTACTACTACTACTACTACTACTACTCTACTATTACTACTATTACTATTACTATTACTACTGCTGTTACTATTATTCTTATTTGTTTATTATTATTATTATTATTTTTATTATTATTCTATTATTTTTATTTTTATTT